GTGGGTGAGTTGGGCCTCAGGGCAGGCCTTGGCCTCAGTGGGAGTGTCTGGGCCTTGGCCTCAGTGGGCAGGCCTGTGCCTTGGGCATTCCTGAGTCTCGGCAGCTTGGCAGAGGGCTGGTCTAGTCCGGGGCAGTAGAGGGCTGGGGGTAATAGTTGTAGGGAGGTAGTATCTGTATTTGATGACGTAAAAGATGCCTCTCTCAGTCTCTCTGTACCGTGGGTACCACGAATTTCCTGATATCCGCGCTGATATCCCTCTCTATTTGTTCGGTTTTGTTAGTTTATGCTTCCTTTTCTTTGGAAATGCAGCCTTCTAAATGAGGTTGCTCTAGCCCTGCATTCCAAGGTCTGCAGGGGGCAGAGGCACTCGCCAGCGTGGGCGCGGAAGCCGGAGCCGCATGCAGGCCGGCAAAAGCTCAAAATGCCTGTAATTCCTTAGCAATTTGATCTTTTAAAAAAACAAGTTCAGAATGTTGAAATATAAGATCTTATGTTTGTTAAAGGCTGTCTGTCTGCTAGACAGGGGTTTCCTATGTGTGATTCCACCCCTTTTCCCTGAGACTGCCCTACCTGTGCTGCCTGGTCAGGGAAGCGCTGAAAGCCCTCCCCATTTGATTTTAAGTTGTAACTGTCTCTTTAAATTTCAAGGAGCTCTGTGTGTGCATGCGTAGTAGAACCCTCCGAGGGTGGGGCTGGGGTGTCCACTAGTTCTGGCACCCCAATAGTCACCAGGATGGAGGTGCGCAGACAGCAAGCAATCAATGAACAGATACCAAAAGAAAAGAATGTCCACACCTTTATCTCCGCGGTTCTGCCAGGTGTCCCTGGCTACTCCTATCCTTCCCCTGCTTCATCTCACCAACAATGGCGGCTTCTGGAGCAGCTGAGTTTCTTGAATTAGAAAGCAATGGATTTCTTGCTTCTACTACAAATTCCCCTAGCTGTAAGCCTTCCAGTCTTCTAAATGTTCCTTTATATATGGTTCAGAGTTCTGGGACCATCCCCTGAGCCTGCTTGGTCCTGTATTCTGTGTTGTTGCTGATGGCGCTCCTTTACTGCACTTCCATGCTATCTTACATCTTGTTTGTTCTCACAGATTTCCTAATTTTAAAAAAGCAATGTGTGACATGCACTGTTTCACTTACAATAACCACTGTTTCTCCTTGGTTTTCTTTTGGTAACATTGGAAAGTCCATCTTTCCAGAAAAATGCAAGACGAAGTGGCTAGAAAACATAGTTGGGATATACTCATATTTGACATACATTTGGAACTGGTATTATGTGTTGTAGGTTACTTACTGCTTAGAGTATTCATGTCCTATTGCTGATGTGACAAATTACTACAAATTTAGTGTGTCAAACAATGCAAACTTCTTATCCTACAGTTGTGGAGAACAGAAGTCTGAAAAGGGTGTCAGTGGGCTAATATCAGAGTGTTGGTAGGGCTGTATTCCTTCTGGATTCTCTAGGGAGAATCCATTTCCTTGCCTTTTCTTGCATCCAGAGGTTGCCTACATTCTTTGGCATGTTGCTTATGTTCTTCTATTAAAGTCAGCAACATTGGACTGAATCCTCCTCATGCTGCCATTGCTCTGGTTCTCGTGTGTCACCCTTCCCTTTTTGTTATTTTATTGGGTTCACCTGTATCCTCCAGTCTAATCTCCCTATATTAAGGTCAGCTGATATAGCAGTCTTAGTTCCTTCTAAATCTCAGTTCCCCTTTTCCATTTAACTTAACTGTCACAGCTTCTGAGGATTTAGAAGATGAACATCTTCACCTGTTGCCATTTAGTCAATTTTGACTCATACTAACACTGTAGGACAGAGTAGAACTGTTCCATAGGGTTTTCGAGGCTGTAAATCTTTATAGAGACCGACTGTTAAATCTTTTTCCCATCATGTAGCTGGTGCATTTGAACCACCGATCCTTTGGTTAGTAGTCTAGCACTTAACCACTGCACCATTGACAGGGGCTAGGGCATTCTTCCTCCTGCCACATTTCATATCCAAATAGCTGTTATATCCTAATAATTGAAATGAAAAGACTGTGATAGTAGTTAGACGCTCTGGTGGCACAGTGGTTAAGCACTTACCTGATAACTGAAAGATTCAAATCCACCAGCTGCTTTATAGGAGAAAGATGTAGCAGTCTGCTTCTGTCAAGATTTATAGCTTTGCCACACCATGTTCGTCAAAGCACTATTCACAGTAACAACAAGGTAGAAACAACCTAAGTGACCATCAGTGGATGAATGAATACAAACTATGGTACAGACCCTTAGTGAAGTACAGCGCAACACTAAAGAATAATGATTAATCTGTGAAACACTTCATAACATGGATAAACTTCTTAGAAGACATTATGCTGAGTGAAATTAATCACAAAAGGGCAAATATTGTATGAAACTACTATAAAAAGTCAAGAAAATGTTTAGACATAGTCATTCTTTGAGGTTACCAGGGATAGAAGGGGAAAGGAGAATGAATCACTAACTGGAGGGGTGTTGTAGTTGTTACTTGCCATCGTGTTGGTTCCAGCCCATGGCGACCCTATATATAGGGTTTCTGAGAAGTGGTTAGTGAGCTTAAACTGCCGACCTTGCAGTTCAAATTGACTTTGCAGTCCATCCGGCACATTAACCCACAGTCAGCACAAAACGATCAAGGCAAAGGAAGACACTGGGAGGAGCACACGAGGTAAAGGCAACAAGAGTAAATACTGTTTTGTATATAATCCTGCAATTAAGTAACAATAATCTGTGAGTGGATACATAGATACACAAGCTGAACAGGGGTTGGAAAGTAAATGGAACTGTTGTTGTTGTAATTTTTAAGTGCCGTTGAGTCGATTCCGACCCATAGCGACCCTGTATAGGGTTTCCAAGGAGCAGCTGGAGGTCTTGGATAGAGTGAGAGAAAAATGTGAAACAAAACTCAAAATCCTAAAAAAGACCAGACTTACTGGTCTGATCACGACTAATGGAACCCCTAAGACTGACTATATGGCCCTTAGGAATCCTTTAGGCCTAGAACTGAGCTCACTTGGGTGGCTCAACTTTCAGCCAAACGTTAGGTATATAAGATGGACAGTAACACCAGGAAGATGCACAGTCATTAGAACAGTCAACCATAGAGATCATATAAGCACAATTCTTATCCCTGAGCAAATGCATCTAAAAGGGCAGCATTTGCCCAGGGATAAAGCTCAGAAAACAGGAAGGAATGGGAAAAAAGGATGAAGGGAAATGGTAACATAGAGAAAGTAGGAAAAGTATTGTATTGTGGGGATTGCAGTCCATGTCACAAAACAAAATGTGTATGAATTGTTGAATGGAAAACCAATCTGCTCTCTAAACTTTCACACAAACCACAATTGGAAAAAAAAAAAAAAAAAGTACAGCCTTGGAACCCTTATGGGGCAATTCAGCCTTGTCTTCGGGATCACTATGAGTCTGAATTGACTGGATAGCAGGAGGTAGCATAGTTGTTAACAATCATGACCTTGAATACTCTTTTCTGATATATTTTCTCTTGTAAATTCCAGCTTTGTTATATATAACAGGTGCTACAAAAATTCTCCGTTTTGCAAAAATAATTAATTTTGAAATACCTTTTTCTTATAGGTTACTTTTGCCGCAGCTTTACTAGGTCCTCTGCTTTGCTTGGTAAGTTTAGTTTCTTGTTGACATGCTTACGTTGATTTTCAGGTAATTTTAGCAATAAATATGTCTACAAATATGTTTTCCATCTCATTCTAGCCAGAACCCACGTTAACTATGGAGTCAAAGGAGATGTGGCCGTTGTTAGAATTAACTCACCCAATTCGAAGGTACCCCATTTACTTCACAGTTTATTTTTACTAACCACCTTAATGAATTCAGCCATGAATGAGAATGAAATAAATTCAGCCATTTGACAGTAATATTGTTGTTGCTAAGTACAGCTGAGTCAGTTCTGACTCATAGCGACCCTGGATAAGGTTTCAGAGAAGCAGCTCTTGAATTTGAACCACCGACCTTGTGGTTAGCCATCCAGTGCTTTATCTATCCTACAGCACCACACCAGGATATTATATTGGCTAAAAGTTTCTGTAGTAAAATTGGATGGGATCTGACAAGGATGTCAGATTTCTGAGGCACAGGTGTCAGGGTAGCATCAGGTATTAATAAGACAGATTTCTAGTACATTGTAGAATGGGGAGGTGACTTATTAGCTAAGAACTGACATACAAGCTTCATTTTTGAGAATTCAAACTCACCTTCCCATCTTAAATATGAGGTTATAAAATCTGCTTTCTTGATTACTTGCCTCAAACATAAATTATTCTTCAGGATGAGTAAGTTGGCTGGGTTAAACGTGGACAGTGGCACTTGCTTCCTGAAGGATCTGAATCATTGTGCAGTTCATAATGGAGTCAGGTTCTGTTCAAGGTAGCACTTCATTTGTTCTTGGCATTTCAACAAAGTATGTAACCTTAATCCAGTCTTTAGCTAAGAGCTTCACAGTAGTGACTCATCCTTTTTCCCCCCCATCTAAAATTGGTGTTAAGACTTGATACTTAAGAAATCTTATAACCAGAGGCCTAGTTGAAATAGAAGGACCCAAATGAAAGCAATTGACAACTATCACAAATTTAAAAAACAAGAGCCATTCCTTTTTCCTAGACTAACTCTTAACACCCACTGATGAATAAGTCAAATTTAAGATTTTTTTTCAAGATCTTTTCATATTCAGTATTTTTCCTGAGCACAAAAATAATGCATGCCTGTTGTAGGAAATTTTAAAACTAGGGAAAAAACTACAAATATTCATAATCCAAATATAATGCAAAGCAATTTTAATTTCAGTAAATTTTGATTCCTTTTTCCTCTTATTGCTATATAATGTTTATCCATGCCAATAAACATTTGTAGGGTTATTTATAGCCCACATATAATTCAATATCTTAGGAATGTGAATTTGAGTTCCTTCTTTGACTAGACCTCTTTAAAGGGAGGTATGCTTTTAGTTGACCAGAGTTGCCTGAACAGAAAACTACTGGGGTGTTCGTTTGTTTTTTTATTTTTTCTTCTTTTTTCTCAAAGGATGGAGGACTTGAGGGCAATTTCTGCCTCTCCTCGCTTCCAACAATATATTTCTATCAAAAATTTTGATACTATCAAAATGGTATCTGTTGGTGATGTGTGATGGTATTTTGAATTTAAATTCTTAGATTTACATGCATTTCCCTTGGCAGGTAAATACACTAAATAAAGAGCTACAGTCAGAATTCATAGAAGTAATGAATGAAATCTGGGGCAGTGATCAAATCAGAAGTGCCGTCCTTATTTCATCAAAGCCAGGCTGTTTTATCGCAGGCGCTGATATCAAGTAAGTTTAAAAGAGTTTAAAATCATCTTAATCACCTTATATCTTGGTTAATGGTATGTCTTTTGGGCTTAATAACTCCTCCTTTAAAAAGAAGATAAAAATAAATTCTTTGAAAGGTTTTTTACCTGTTATTTTCATGAGTGTAGTAAGATTGATAAAAGGGGCTTATTGCTTCATCTGCCCTTTCCATAAAGAATGAAAGCTGTACAAGAATTAATTAGATTAGAATAATTGAATAGAATAAACATACTATGACATTAACTCATGGTTAGATGCCATTTTTTACCCATCAGACCAAGCATTTAAAAGTCTGAAAATATCATGTGTTAGCAAAGAATTGGGGAAATGATAGAGTTAATTACTAGTAGGAATGCCAGCTTTACAGCCAATTGGGTAGCATTTAGTAAAATTAAAGATGCATGTATCATACAACCCAGCAGGACTCCTTGTAGGTGTACACTACAGAAACTTCACCCTTTGTTCAAAGGCCCCATATGTAAGGATGTTCAGTCCACTGTCACTTAAAGGAATGAAGAGTTGAAACAAGCTAAATATCAGTCACTTGAGAAATAGATAAGAAAATGTGGTTTTAAAAAAAGTAAGTTTCAAACTAATTACATATAGTATATCATTTATAGAGACATTTTTAAACCATGTATGAAATCATTATTTACATGCGCAGTTGGTCTGGAAGGATATGAACACGTGAGACATGAAAGTGTTTTAGAGAAAATGAAGTGGGTGGTAGGAATGAAAGAAGTGATCAAAGGGAACTTTACAAAAGCAGTTCATGCTTTCTTTCCCTTTTTTACATGATAGCTTGTATGCATGTATAACTTGTTTGAAATTTTAGAGTGTAGAAGGGGAAATGATAAGCTCATTGTTAGTTTAATGGATTAGAATATTGGTCATTGTTAATTCTGTCAAAATATGGGTATTTGTTATATTATTCCTTGGACTGGACTTTAGAAAACAAAGGCCAGCATTATAAGGAGTCCTGACGTGGCACCATAAGATAAATACTCGACCTCAAGGTCAGTTTGAACCGCAAGGTCGGCGATTCGGACTCACCAGTTTTTCCTCAGAAACCTTATACAGACTATGAGTTGGAGCTGACTTGATGGCACTAAACAGTTAAAAGCATGGTTGTTGTTAAGTGCCGTCGAGTTTAGTCGATTCTGACCCATAACGACCCTGTATAGGATTTCCAAGGAGCAGCTGGTGAGTTTGAACTGCCAACCTTGCAGTTCAAACCAACTTTGCAGTCCAGGTGCATTAACCCACAGCACCACACCAGGTCTCCAATTATAAGCAAAGTAATTTGGTTATAGTTTTTCTACAGACTTAAAATATTTGTATTAGTGTAACTTTGCACCACATTGTATACCTTTTTTGCTTATATGGAGTAAATCAAAATTAATTTTATTTAACATCCTTTAATAATTGGAACATGGAATATACAAACTATGAATCTAGGAAAATTATAAGTTGTCAAAAAGAAAATGGAACACATAAACATTAATATCCTAGGCTTTAATAAGCTGAAATGGACTGGTATTGGCCATTTTGAATGTGACAGTCACATGATTTACTATGCTGAAAATGACAAATTGAAGAGGAATAGCATCACATTCATCATCAAAAAGAACACTTCAAGGTCTGTCTTGAAGAATGCTTGTATTGGAAAGACTAATTCATATCCCTGTTATTCAAATTTATGCACCAGCCACTAAAGCTAGTGATGATGAAATTGAAGAATTCTACTAACTTCTTTAGTCTGAAATCAATCAAACATGCTATCAAGTTATACTGGTGATTGGAATGCAAAGGATGGAAACAAAGAAGAAAGATCAATAGTTGGAAAATATGGCCTTGGCAATAGAAATAATGCTAGAGATTGCATGATAGAATTTCTCAAGACCAATTCATTGCAAATACCTTTTACAAACTACATAAAAGATGATTATGCACATGGACTTCACCAGGTAGAATACACAGAAATCAAATTTATTTCATCTGTGGAAAAAGACAGTGGAAAAGGTCCATATCAGCTAAAATAAGACCAGGGCAGACTGTGGAACAAACGATGAATTGGTCATATGCAAGTTCAGGCTGAAGCTAAAGAAAATTAAAGCAAGTTTACAAGACCCAAAATAGTAAACTCAGGGTGAAGCTAAAGAAAATTAAATCAAGTTCATGAGAGCCAAATATAATCTTGAACACATCCCGCCTGAATTTAGAGATCATCTCAAGGAAAGATTTGATGCATTAGACACTAATGACCCCTAACCAGAAAAGTGGTGACAGGAGAGACAGTGGCAGAGGCTATGGCATAGATAGAGCAGCTGAAGACTGTAGATCCATGGACTGAGAAAGGCTGTGTGCCTGCAGGCCGGAGGCTGGCTTGGACACTTAAGTGAATATGGATTTTCTGTTTTGTATGTGTACATTAAAAAAACAAAAAAATGGGAATAGAAATAAATACTGATGGTACATGGAGGGGATTGTAATCATTGCAATGAAGCAAGATATGGTTTATTGAATATAAAACTGATAATCTGCTTTGTAAACTTTCACTCAATTCATAATAAAAAAAAACTTTGGGGGAATAAAGACACCAATGACCAAAAACCTGAAGAGTTGTGGGATGACATCAGGAACATCATTTGGAAAGAAAGCAAAAGATCTTTAAGGAGACAAGGAAGAAAGAAAAGACCAAAATAGATGTCAGAAGAAATTCTGAGCCTTGCTCTCCAGCTTAGAGATGCTAAAGAAAACAGAAGAAATCAGGAGGTAAAAGAGCTGAAGACAAAGTCTAATATCATAATGAAATGTGCAAAGATCTAGAGTTAGGAAACCAAAAGGGCAGAACACAGTTAGTATTTCTCAAGCTGAAAGAACTGAGGGGAAAAAAATTGAAGCCTCAACTTATAATACTGAAAGATTCTTTGGGAAAAATACTGACGAATGCAGAAAGCATCAAAAAAAGATGGAAGGAATACACAGAGTCACTGTACCAAAAATAAATGGTCTATATTCAACCATTTTAAGAGGTAGCATATGATTAAGAGCTAATGGTACTGAAGGAAGATGTCCAAGATGCACTGAAGGCTTTGGCAAAGAACAAGGCTCTGGGAATCGATGGAATATCAGTTGAAATGTTTCCACAAACACTGGCAGCACTTAATCATATGTGCAAAAAAATTTGGAAGACAGCTACCTGGCCAACTGATGAGACGATATCCATATTTGTGCCCATTCAGAGAGGTGACCCAGTGGAATGCAGAAATCATTGGACAATGTCATTAATATCACATGCAAGTAAAATTTTGTTAAAGATAATTTTTTATAAAAATGGCTGCAAAAGTACATTGACAGAAAACTACCCAAGGCTCAAGCCAAATTCATATTAGGCCATTGAATGAGGGATATTTTTACTGACTTCAGAGGATCTTGGCTGAAAGCAGAGAATACCAACAAGATGTTTACCTGTGCTTTATTGACTATGCAAAGCTATCGACTGTGTGGTTCATGACAAGCTATGGACAACATTATGGAGAATAATTATTCCAGAACATTTAATTGGGCTCATAGGAACCTGTGCTTGGTACTTACATGCTATGAAGTCGGTTCTGACTAATAACGACCCTGTATTATAGGGTTTCCGAGGCCATAAATCTTTATAGGAGCAGAAAGCTCCATCTTTCTGCTGCAGACCAACTGGTAGTTTCTAACTGCTTACATTGAGGTTAGCAGTCCGACTCGTAACCACTATGCTACCAGAGCTCCTTTTAGGAATCTGTATATAGACCAAAAAGGTGGTTGTAGAACAGAACAATGCCATAATACTGAATGGTTTAAAATCAGGAAAGGTATATGCCAGGGATGTATTCATTCACTAATTCAATCTGTATGCAGAGCAAATAATCCTGGAAACTGAATTACACATGAAGGACAGGGTTGGAGGAAGACTCATTAGTAACCTGCAATATGCAAGTGATAGAATCTTGCTTGCTGAAATACTTGTTGATGAAGATCAAAGACTACAGCCTTCATTATGGGTTGCAC